CGAACTATCTGTTCTTACCGTATGCTTCGATTTCAACCGTTATTTACTAAAACGTCCCTTTTATAGTGTTAAAAATGTGATTTATCAAAGTTACATTTGTCATTTGACACTTTTTGCTCTTTTTATATTTGAAATTTTTGGAGGAATTGCCAAAAAGTTTTATCAAAGAGTTTTATCAGATGCAAAGAATTTTATCAGAGACTGCTTTGGGTATGAGATGCAAAGAGTTTTATCAGAGACTGCTTTGGGTATGAATGCTTTCTTTTAAGTTTAATTAACAATGGTCAGATGGTTCGAATGAACGATTTATCTTCTCTCATGATTTCCACTAAAATGTAGTCTTCTCGTTTTGACTAAAGTTTTATTTTCGGAGTTTAGCAAAGTTGAAAGAACTATCCAATCTTTTTATTAGAATCACTGTTATGAGACGGTTACTCCAGAGATCCTTCCTAAACCAAGGCAATTATCAGTTCCTAATTATATTCTTGGTTTAGTTAGGCTAATTAATCACTTTTTTAAAGTTGACTCAGTGTTATTTCATTTACCATCCAGATTACTTAACTTTTTGACATTCTGATTTATTCATTAAGTTCGAAAATTCATAATTTTGGCTAACAATAAGGCTTCATCCATTTGTTAGCCAATTAATAAAACTTTCGGTTAATAATTTTTATAAAATTTTTTTAAAAAATAGTACTATTTTTTTTTATTTGCGCTTGTTTTAATTTAATTATTATCTTAATCAGAAATAGTCAGTTAATGAAGAACACTCAATCATGATGTGTAAAATCCAAAAGAATAAGTGTATTCAAGGAACATGATAATAAAATTTTTAATGTAAGTAATTTTTGGAGTACATCAAGAATAGTCCTAATGCAGGCAGTGTTGTTAAATGTTGCTTGTTTAAACAAACTGTTAAAACAAAAACAAAAAAAGAAAATTTATAAGTCGTTAATTTTTAATAGAAATTGAAAGAATCTCACAAAAAAATTAAAGCTTTAAAAACATTTGAATTTCCCAATGAGAAATTTGGGTTATCTGTGCTTTTTCTTTATCAATTTTATCCATCTTTTTTCCATTCCCAATGATTGTAAAAAGAAAAAAGTTAAATTTTTCAATTATTGAATTATTCTTACTGTTAAATAATAAGGCATGCAAAAAAGAAACTTACTAATACTGGCAAGAAATTATTAGTTCTACTGATAATGATGTCAAAGAAGCAGCAATTATTGATTTCTATAAAAAGATTGTCGAAGATGGATTCAATCCTGTAGTTCGATGATGGAATAATAGTGGCAGGCAGTAAAGGAGTACTGAAGGTTTCATAACTTGAAAAATTACGAACAGGCCCAGCCAAGTGCTAGAAAGCCTAAGCCAAAGTCTAAGCTTAAGCCTAAGCCTGAGTATAAAGCCTAAGCCTATGCATATAGCTGATGTTGTTGGACTATCGAATTGCCGTTTTTCGCCGTTGAATCGTTGTCAAATTGAATACTTGGTTAAGCTGTCGCCTTGAGTGCTTTGCGTTAGCTCTCCGATTGAATAACTCAGCAAGCTGTCGAATCGAAAGACTACTCGAGCTTTTGAACTTGATAACTGACCACTAGGAGGATAACTGACCCTAGCCCCATTACTAGCATAACTACCACAGTAGAGATCCTTTATAAGATTTCGATATTTGCGTATAAGTTCATTACAACATTTCAACAACAATTACACGTAAATTTGATTAATAGATTGGAAACAATTTACATCAAAGGGTTAAAAAATTGGAACAGATGGATTTGAATGAGTGACTCATCACTTTAAGTATCAAGATATTTATTTCATTAATTATGTATAACGAGTCTACTTATTTGGGAAGTATTCTGAATTCCAATTCATG